CCCTTTCTAATTTTCTAAGACTAGTCAATAGGAAAGTTCTATGGCTAGACCTAGGCTACTAAGGAAGTTTTCTAGACCTCAACCAAAAGTGAGGTCAACACAAGTAAAATATGATTTTTTGATTAAGCCCCGAATATCGAACCAATTAGGAGATTAACAATATGCACTTTAGGAAACTAGAAAGTTTAGATGACAAAAATCTACTTCGCAAAATGTTCTTACTTAAACTTAAGATGTTATAATAGGAATGAAAATTCGATTCTTTTTGTAATTTTTGATTTATGTAAATATAGTTAGCAACTAATTAACTTAACAAATATTTGCAAGAAGAAGGCTATATAAATAAAATATTTTTTTCCTTATAATGAATCAATAATAAGTATAAAAATTTTGTTGTGGGAGTATGTTAAATGTGTTCTGTCAAATAAAAACAATAATATTATTTACCCTTACTAGAGATGCTATAAAAAATATTAGCTAATCTATAGTTTGAAAAGTCTTCAAGACCGGTTAGGTAGGGAAGATATTAGCTCTCACTCTAGAGTTCCCTCTTCTCTCTTCACCTGGAGACTAACATCTCTTATCAAAATTTAAAACTATAAATCAAATTGGGGGTTTTAGCATGTCACTCTAAAGTCTTGTAATTCTACACCCTTGAAATGTTTATTTCCCTATTTATTTACACCATGAACTACATTCTCATCTATGAAATCAATATGTGATTCTAAACTATTTGTTGATTGAGACAATATCATCTCGGATCTTACATGTTCTCACAATAGGTATTAACATCTTGATTGGTCAAATTAAGAAGTAAATTAAGTGCAAAGTTTCAAATCATCACAACTTCTTCCAACATTGAAGCCTACTACTTCACACAACTTCCTTTCAACACTTAATCAATTATCATTTTAAAGAAAAAAAATAAAAAAAAATACTCAGAATCCATGGAGAAAATACAACTACACATGAGTTTAAAAGTAGAAATCATGCACACAAATAAGAAATTTAAATTAAAATCAAGTGTAGTCACAAAGATAAACACTTATCTCAAATCATTTCCACCAAATGTCTTGAAGTTCCTTCGAATTCTCTTTCTTCACTCACAATACAAACTAAACACTCAAAATAAAATAAAAAGAAAGAGGCCGGAGGCGGTGGCAGCGTACTTGGATGAACGATGGCTGTAAATTTTATGGGTGGCTGGCCTCTGGCGATTGGTTTTGATGATCCAAGTTTTCTTTAATAAAAATCAAAAAGGTGTCTTCGTGTCCCTTCAAAATGCTTCTTCATTCAATGAATCTTCTAGAAGTTGCCTTCTCAAAAGCTAATTGAATGAATTTTCGTGTCCATGGGATATTTCTGAAACACCTCTTAAGAAATTCGTCTAAATTCAATGAATCATCAAATAACTACTTTTGGCGTTTAAGCGTGGGGTACTTGGCGCTTAGGCGCGAAACCTCTGGTTTTGGCGTCAGTCCTGGGTACTTATGCGCCCCAGTTTATTTTTGCACATTTCTTCATTTTTTCTCCAAATTTGACCCTTTTTCACTCCTTTTAGGATTTTTCATTTATTTGATTGTATCTGAAAGAAAAACACAAATATATTTTATTAATGCACAATATCTCAAAAAATAAGTATAAAAATATGTATAAAAACACTATATATTTTAGGTGTATCAAAACCCAACGAATACGGAAAGAACACTAATCATTCAATCAGACGGGCTCGAGAGGTTCTCTTGATGGGATGCCATTTTGTGAACATGAGTGCTTTATTGATGGCAAAATTGAGCGATTTTGGCCTCATTAGATTCGTCTTATTAAAACGGGTGATTTGTCTATAAACTTTTAATTTCAGAAATCATTTAACTTTCCAAAGTCTTAAAAAATTTCCTAAGGCAGCTTAACAGATTGATTCAAGCTTGATTTGACATGGAATGGACCAACTTTGGTGTCACCATGTTAGTTTGTCTAGAAATTTGTCAAAATCAGAGTTTTAGTTGAAATTTGAATATTTTCGCTTCAAAAAATTATCATGAAATTCATGTCACACGTGTCGTTTTATTTAACAATTGATATACTTAATTGTTTAAAAGTCTGCCAATTGGCTTTTGAATAAATTTTTATCAGAACTTCATGCTACTGTTTAAATTTGTTAATTATCATGCCAAGACAACCAAGTTAGACAACTTTTCATGGCTCTTACATTTTTTTTAAGAAAAATGTCAAATGCATAATTAAAAATATTAATTTTATTCATTAAAAAAATAGAAAAGTTGCGTATATATCTTGTATTAACCTCTCTCTCTCTCTCTCTCTCTCTCTCTCTCTATATATATATATATATATATATATAATATTTATATTTAAAATTTACATTTATAAAATTTTATCTATATATCAAACATCTATTTTATTTTTAAATTAATAGCAATTATATTCTTTATTTGATATGAAAAATTTTAATATCTTAAATATAAAAAATAAATATTAGATATGTAATCACTATGATATGCACGTAAATGCCCAATAAATACACCATAAAACTACTTGTTTTGTTTTATAAAAAAACAAAAAAACCCGTTTTATAATATAATCCGAACAAAAACAATGAAATACGGACAAAAAACAGCATCGTGCGCCTGCAATAGAAATCCTATTCCTCCCTCTAATCTCTTAAAGCGGGAGAAGCAACCCTAATCCTTTTCCAAATGGTATTTTCCAATTAATGATTCAGATTTCTTTGGAATAGAGAAACAAGAGCTGATTGTTGAAGCAGAAGAAAAGGAAGAAGGGATGCGGGGTATGTGGAAAACCATACGAGAAAAGCTAGGGTTGATCACAAAGAGTCCGACCCCAGGCTGCTGCGGAGCTCTCTGGGGATCAAAGCGTTTCTCCCCTCCAATCGATCCCATAACCCTCGGAAACGCCGACGATGTGATCGAAGAGATCGCGACAACCGAAACGGCGGGGGAGATGAATCTGGCGGCGGCGCTTGCGGAGGAGCGGCGTATCCGGGAGGCGGAGTCGTTGTTTTTGGGGCCGGCGGAGAATATGGAGAGCACATCGCTGATGAATTGGTTGGAGGAGGAGGAGGAGAAGGAGGTGGAGGAGGAGAGGGAGGCGGTGGGATTGGGGGAGAGCTGTTGTGTTTGTATGGAGAAGAAGAAGGGGGCGGCCTTCATACCTTGTGGGCACGCTTTCTGTAGGGGTTGCGCTCGAGATATATGGATCGAACGCCGGTCCTGCGCGCTTTGCAATCGCCCGATTCTCGAGATCCTCCATATCTTCTAGTACAGTACTGCCCTCTTCCTCCTGCCGTGGAGTTTCTCTCTCTCTCTTTATCTAAGTCTCTCTCTTTCTCTATTGAGATAATTGTGCTTTCTCATTTTTTTTAGATCAGTGTTTTTAATCATGTTTTTTGTTTATTGGATTTATTCTACAATTATTGTAATTAACATTAATTGAATTATATGTATTGAATTTATGCCAATATATATAT